GTAGAATAGGGAGATACAAAGTTCAACAGGTGATTGACCCTCCTGGCTTAGGGTAATAGTTGAATCTTGCTGCAGTAGTTGTGTATGGATTAATAAGTCCAAGTTCAACAATTGATCATAAATGGTACAAGTATTTCAGGTGGATGAATAGCATGCATAAAGCATAGAGAAATTTCAATATATATGACATTTTTCCAAGTTAATAAGAAGTTCACATTGACAGGAGAATCCAATTGAGTTTTCCATTTATTCCACTGATAATTGTTGAATGCCTATTGCCTGCTAGGAAATGTTCTAAGTACTAGCAAAAAAAAAAAAAGTGGAGTGAGTAAATAAAAATGAGTGTTCTCATTTGTCCTCAAAGAGAGTGGAATTGTGTGACTCACTAAAGATCCAAACTATCTGTGGTGGGCTTAAATTCTTTTTTTACTTTTTAATGATACAAGTAATGATGTGAATCTTTTTGAAATATTTTAAAAGCAAACTCCAGACATGTCATTCCACAAGGGTACACTGGAGGGGAGTGGGGAGAGAGAGAAAGAGGGAGGGAGGGAGAGAGAGAAAGCGAGATTGATTTCTACTCAATATACAGTTGAAAATTATAATAATTAGAGCAGCTTAGTAAAGAAAAAACTGCCTGGGAGGGACATACATGGACATCACTAGAAACAACCAGATACATGACATGCACCTTGTGTGACCTTGTGGAAGGAGGATGGAAATAAGGTAGACTGCCAGTAACTGACCCGAGAGTTTTTTTGGATCTAAAATTCTACTTGGTTCCCTGCAAGTACAGGAAAAGATGGAAGAAACAGAATAGGTTTTGCTTGCATTTGCATTAAGAATACAGCTCATATAAATGGGCCAAGGACTTTTATAAAATTAAGTGAAATTTAATTTAAAATATTATTTTTCCTTATTAAAATATTTTATTCTACCTTTTGTTTTAAGTTTTTAAAAAAAATATTTTATTTATTTATTTTCTGAGAGAGGGGAAGGGAAGGAGAAAGAGTGGGAGAGAAATATCAATGTGTGGTTGCCTCTTATGTGTCCCTTGCTGGGAACTGGCCTGCAACCCAGGTATGTGCCCTGACTGGGAATCGAACCGCGATACTCTGGTTCACAGGCCCACACTCAATCCACTGAGCTACGCCAGCCAGGGATATCCTACCTTTTTAAAAATCTCCTGTATACTTTTTGTTTAGAAGTTGCTAGGTAAAAATGAAGACCTAGAGAAACTTTGGCACATTTTGGAAGACTTTGTCATGGTTGGTCTGCAGCCCAACTCTGCTTCCCTCACCAGTGAAATCGTCCTTGGAGGCATCAGATCCAGTAGATGAACTTTTGCTCCTGTCTAGTGGTAGAATGTTCTTATAGCTTCACAGACCTCCAGGCATGGTGTGGCGTCATGAAGGGAAGGACAGATTTTACTTCCATTTTCTAATAAAAAGTGGCCAATGAAACACAATTGTCACCAATGGTCAAAGTATTAGTCTTACTCATCTCTGGCTTTTAAGGCTTGAAAGTCAGACCAGGTTAGAGGCTGAATTCTCTTCCCTCCCCCTGCTGACCTAAGCTACTAGACACTGGGCTACTAGTATTTTCCTTTTCTCACTGGGATTGAAAAATAATTAAGAACCATATGGAATAAGGCAAACTCCCTGAGGACAGGGTTTTTTTCCAGCATCTCTGTCCCGGCAGTTGTCACAGGCCTAGAATAGTACCTCGAACGCAGCAGGTGGTCGGTCAGTCCCCGTCTCATATAGGAGGAGATTGGGTAGCAGTTAGGAACTGCTCAGAGACCCTTGGGAATATCTCTTCATGTGATTTTGCCTGAAGTAACTCATTGAAACGATAGAAGGGCTGATAAATCTACCCTATCTCCTTTAATTGATGTATCTTGCCCCCTCTTATATACTAATTTAAATACTTTTAGAAAACTCCCCAAATTAGAGCATTATTAGTATATCTTCACATTAGAGATCAATAAATGTGGTATTTCCAACTACATGGGGCTGTCGTTGTGAGACATGCCAAAGAAAGCTGACTGCTAATGTCTCATCAGTCTCTCTACCATGTTTCTGACAAGTAATAGTCCCCTTCTCTGAATAGTACTGGTGATGAAGTGCTCGCCACCTCGCAAGGCTGGTTACTACATGGGGAGAATTCCCTGAACATTAGCCATTCCCTGTACTTGGAGTGAAAATCTCTTACTCTAACTTCTGCTGGTTTAGTCTCCGCCTTCCTTGGAATCAACGTGGAGTGAAGTCCGCACCCTCTTGTCTCTGGAACCATAGAGACAAGGCCCCAGAGCTGCTTTGAAAGCAGCTCTGTGAATTCACCTGCCATCTTCTCTAAGCTAAACTATACCTGGTTTTATTACAAACGATAGCATCAATAGTTATCATTTTTATGCCCCTACTTATATGTATCCAAGTTTGGTTACAAGGATTTTCCCCTTAGTTTGGCTAATAGTCATACTAATGTTAGAGATTTTCTTAAACCTGTTAGATAAGAAAACTAAGATCCCAAGAGGTTTGATAATTAACCTCAGATCACAAGGGTCATTCAGTGGGTGAGCAAACTGGAATTTAAACTGTATCTGTTAGATTCCCAAACCTGGGATGTTATTTCTACTTCACTAGCTATTTATCCAGCCGCTGACCCACCTGACAGCAAAAATTCAGGCACTAGGAATACAAATGGGAATTAGACTGCCTCTCTCTAAGAGGTCTAGGGAGATAGAAGACACAATTACAAATAACTATCCAGTGTGGTATTTATTCCTGGATCTCATCACATCAACTTACAATCTGTGTCATTTGGCCAGTCTCTTTGTACTTCAGTTTTCTCTGATGTAAAGCAAGAGAAATATTGCTCATGTCCTTCAAAGGGTTTGTGGAGCAGTGTCTGGGTGAACACATGTGAAGTAGCCATACAGAGGCCTTGACACATAAAAATAAGTAATAGCCTTAAGACTGTATGTCCAGGATGCTGTGGGACCATGAAAGAGGGACAGCCAATCCTTCCTGGAGACAGGTGGCAGGGAATGGAAAAAGGGGGGAATCCTTTTTAGGGGCGGTTACAACTGAGGTCTGGCCTGATGTACTAGTGGGAATCGGTGAGTTAAAGGGTGGGAGGAAGGAGAGAAGCACTCCAGGAGGGGAGCCAACATGAACAAGGAGATGGAGGTGACACCATGCACTCAGTCTGCCGAAACTATCAGTAGAGGTAGACGATTTGAAAGCTTGGTGAGCCCTAGATTGTGGAAAGTGCTGTGCTTCATATTAAGGCTTTGAAATTGTCCCCCTAGTCAGGATGTGGCATGTGGGTAGAGGTCACTGAACAGTTTTACGCAATGGCTCAGATCTCTTCTGGATGGCATGTCAAGCTGTGAGAAGGAGCAACGGTTGGTGGAGGGTGTGAGACAGGAAGACCCGTTAAGAGGTTCTAACAGTAGCCCCAGTAAAAACTGTGAGGGTATTTGTACCCAAATAGAGCAGGGATGGAGAGGCGAGGTCTGCTTAAGAAGCACTTAGGAGGTGATACCCACAGGATGTTGGGAGGAAGAGATGGACCCTCGAATAATGCTCCTGGTTTGGTTTGAGTTATTTAGGTTGGGTGATAATATCACTGACAGATGGGGCATAGAATCATGGCAATAGCAAGTCTAGAAAAGGCAGCGATGAGTTCTGTGTGGAAAGTGCTGAGTACTTGGTGTCTGCAGGAAGTTTGACATATGACTCTGAAGCTATGAAATTCCTGGGCTAGAGATGTGGATTGAACAGTCCCCAGTAAGTGAGAGACTGCTCAGGAGAGAGCAGGGAGTGCTGGGAAGGTGGGTGGAAAGAGCCCTTGATGTGTGTGACTGGTTTTAAATTTTCCTACACCTAACTGGATTTTCCATTTGATGGGGGGAGTATGTTAACACAATCCAGCCCTCCTGTGTTCTCATGCTTGGAAAAGCTAATGACCTGGAGGGGAAAGAACGGGGAAATATGGTTTTGTAAGATACAGAAATTATTTTAAAGAGTGCAATAACAAAGTTTCCTTGAGGAGTGGGCAGCCTTACCTTAAGAATTGCAGAGAGAGCATGTTTCCCTGAGCCAAACATGTATTCATCTGTCCTACGTCATGCCCTTCAAGTACATGCTTTTCAATGTTGAATTTGTTTTTTAGATTGAGGTTGTTCACTATCACCATAGTGGCCAAAAATTCTTCAGAAATTTTCTTAGAAATACTTTTTAATTAACCCCAGTGAGACCTATCAGCTACCAAGGCACTTACGGTGGCACAGGTCTGGGAAGAGTGAGCATTTTGGGGACAGTTTGGGTTTTCACCTGTGAATCTGCTACTTGGTGTCTGCGGACCCTTGAGCTAATTGGTGTCTTCTCTGAGACTTCATTTCTGCAGCTGCAGTGAGCTCATAATGTCCCTTTTACTGACTTACTCTAAACATTAAGTTAAGTAATAGGTGAAAAGGTTCTGACTTGGAATGAGGCTCCATATTCATTGGTTGCTCTCCTTACAATAGCACCACAGTTATTATTTGTTCTTTTTCAGAACTTTGGACTTTCCCTGGGGATAAACTTGCATTAGAAGTCAGTTGATGATGATGATGATGATAGGAAATAATAACTGTGTGCCAGGCACTCTTTGAACACTTCCCATCCATTAACTGATTTGATCCTCCTAATAACCCTGAGAGGCAGGTACCAGCGTCACGGCCCCTCTGCAGATGAGACCAAGGCTCAGAGGTTAAGTTGATACACTTTGGAAGTGACCGAACTGGAGTCACAGATTCTTAAGGATTTATAATCCCCTCAAATGAAGCCTTGATTATAGGCTTCTCATGTCAGTATTTGGATGCTTCCAATATATATGTAGAACATATGTCAATTACTGTGGGTAACAAGATCTGCTGACATTAGCAAATAAGGTTCTAACATTGTTTTACTGCTCCATCAACAGCGTTGTAAACAGTGTCTCTCTGATTTCAGCCTGTGAGGTTGAAGCGGGGAAAGTGTACCAGGTGTCCTCAACGGAGCACATCCAGCCCTTCAAAGAAAACATGGAACAGTTTATTGTTCAAGGTAAATTCTGCCGCGATATGTCAGATTCCCCTCCCTTTTCCGCAGAGGGGGGAGGCATTTTTAAAATATATACACATTGGTTTAAAAGGGATGGACATGCTAGAAAAATAAATTATGTTTAATCATGAGTCATACCGTTGTGAGAGACTAGCAATTTGCTAAACATGCTATTTTGTGAATAATATTCATAATTACCATTTCTCTCTAATGACAGTAAATATAATAGATATTGGTTAAAATAGCTCTGAAATATCCTTCTGAGTTTTAGCTCTGCTTATGACCTCAGTTCAACCTGGTTCCAAAATGAACTACTTTGATGTTTTTCAGATCTTCAAAACATTATATGCTGTTTTGTAAAGGATATATACATTCCTCTCAATACCTAACACCATTTTTCCCAAGGAGCCTAGGGGGGATAAATGGTAATGGGCAAAAATAAAATTAAAAACAACTTCACCAATATTATCTCATTGGCTTTTCCTATCTTCCTTTGAGTTAAGCAGGTATGAAAAATTTCAGAAGATATTAAAGAAACAACTTGTGTAAAGGGAAAAATTCTGTTAAATCTGGCTATTTGAAATCATTGAAACTTATGATTTTTTTCATGCATTCGCTACTCAGAACATTTCATATTTGGAATGTTCCATCTCTTCTGTAGATCAGATTTGTGTCATGCAATGCTCTGTGACAGTTCTTGCTGTTCAGGAATTCCCATGGGGTCTGGCATGGCCTGAGACTGAGGCCAAGTGCCACTTCGTCCTCTCACAGGCTATGGCTTTCCAGGTTGTTCAAGTGTCATTAGTGATGTTTGAAATGAATGAGACATGCTGACGTTTAATTAAACCTTAAGTACAGCCCTTTTTTTTAAGGTGGGAAAACACTATTTAATCATTGAATATAATCCTGAAGACTGAAACAGAACATGAAACATGAAATGTAATATGAAATAGATTCATAAATCCAAGCGCTTGTCATTTCCAAATTGTCAGGTGCTCGTGACTTCTAGTGGCATATATATTCATTCACTGATTCCCAAACAGTCCTTTGACTGAACTCACATTCCCATAGTAACATATTAGAGGACCCTGTAAACTCACTCCACTCTTAACGGTGAATAAAAATGAGCCTTGCTTTTTCCATTCAGTGTGGTTTTAGGATCAAGAACGTGTAATTTTAGAAAATGATGTAGGTTAAAAAAAATGGATTTTTTTTGTTGGTGGTGGGAAGAAAGGAGCCCTTAATTCTATGACTCATTAAAAAAAAAGTCAAACAATTTGCTGGATTTCATATTGGAAATGTTGATGCGTGTCACCCATAGACTTGTTCATGTTATATCTGGTTTATTATGCAATATTCTGCATCTGTATTTTGGAACCCAGGCACTGAGATTTTCTTTATGTCTTAACTCATTTTTTGAATGAATAAGAAAGTTATATTTTGAAGCTCAGATGGAATTTCTAGATGTGGGATTAGACATCATATAAGAAACATCATTATTGTGTGGATGTGGTCAGCTAGGAAGAGAAGAAAAATGGACCGGGGTGGAGTTCTGGAGGAGGGGAACACTTCCATTATGGACACAGAGGCCCCCACAGGGGTTCGTATTTACATAAGTCAGAAAAAAACAAGAGAGGCTGTTGGTGTAATGGCAGCCAGAGTTAGGAAGAGTTTCAGAAAGGAGGTACCATTCTAGTGGTACCTGTTTGTGGGTGGAACATTCTAGGGGGTTGGCATAGGCAAAAATCAATTTTGTGAGCTTTTAATATTTAAGAAAAATGAGGCGGTGGAAGAGCCCAAGTCTGCCACAATTTTAGAAGGTGTCGTAGGACAACTACATCTGATGCATAAGTGTTTAACTGTTTAATCCAAGTCACTATAGTTTAGCTATCTCTAACTTACACCAGCATATGCGATTTTAGTCTTGTGCATGGGTTATGGAGAAAACCAATCGGTTATCTCTAGATGGTGATTGAGAATTTATGTGTAGTTCTTGTTAGATTTTCTTTTGTGCCTCTTTTTTTTTTAAAGTTGCTCATTTTAGGAAATGAGAAAGATGAGGCAAATGAGACCACTAGGGAACATGACGCTTTGCTAAGATTTCTCTTAAAACTTGGCACACTCCTTCCTCTTCCTCTTTCTCTTTGAATCCAAGCTGCCCCTTGGACAGAGTATACATATGAAAATCTCCTGCTGCACTATGAATGTCCTCAGAGGCAGCAGGTTGCCTCTGTGTGAGTGCCTGCACACAGGAGGTCGCCGGGAAGAAATAGGAGCTAGCTCTCTGTCGTTAGCCTCCACAGCCTTTTACTCATATGACTTATTTTGATAAGTGTATATTTTAAAACTTCCACTTAACCCATTTTTTTTGGTTGAATGGCAAATTTGTTTAAAAAAAGGTAAAGGTAGCTTGCTAATTAATGAAGTAGAGTCCCTATTGTGATTTTATAAATCAGAAACCTTTAATAAGATTATCATTAGCCTCACTCCCTATAACTTTACCCCCGCTTTTTTTAAACATTTCTTCCTTGGATGAAATATGGTAAATTGTAGCTGAACTAGAGGAATAGAACCAAGATGAAATGCATAAATATGTAGTCATGCATACAGTTAAAAGGGTGTTGAGACCTCTTTTAAATATACAACTTTTAGTATTGGTCATTCTGTGCGTGAGAATAAAGAGACGCACTGGAAGCAAGGGGTATCGACTGTACCAAAGATGAAGAAGTCTGCAGGGGGTGTCTTCTCTCAGAAACGGTACCCATGGAGCCCTGTGAGCTGTGGTCCACATTCACAGGGAGCACATTTGCTGCTTTATTTTCTCTTCTGAAAATATCGTGAGAGCTTCCTTTAGTGATGATAAAAGATAAAATAGATTTGATTTTTCAAAGTAATTTTTCATGGACCATTTCAAGTCAAAAGAGGAACATAATTGTCTTCTAAGCAAACAAGGGGTTTCCTTGTTATCAGCAGGATAGCAATCATGACAGTATTAAGCGTTAATGAAGAGTTAGCCGAAGCCTGTCTATACGCCACATGATGTTAATTTCATGAGTCTTCAGGGCAGTCGGAGCAGCCACTGTTGTCCTACTTTACAATAAGGAAGCAGAGCCTCGGAGGGTTCAGTACTCGACTAAAGTCACATGATAGATAACTATCATGTTGGAACCAGGACCTTTTATAAGAGGTTGCAGCTATAGTTTATTTTATTTTTAAAATCATTGAAACATAGGGACTCCAAGAGGTGGTGAATAAGGCAGTGTGTGATGTCATGTGATTGAAACTGTAATGAAGATGAAACCCATGTAAGATAGTCCAGGAAACTCACGTCACCGATATCAGAACAGGAAAACGGGAAGACTTTTGTATTCTTGCAATACACGTGCTGACACCCTGCACCGGGCAGACATACTCACACTTGCTGGTCCCATTTTGGATTCCACCAAACCTTTCCTGTCACTCCTAACATGTGAGAAGCGTGTGTTTGAAGTGATTCTTTTGAAGCGATCACCCCTTCTATATCAGCACTTCTGTTTGAGAGTTACATTTCCCGCCACCGCGGTCATTCATTCTGCAAGGGCTGATGAGAAATGGTCCAAGACCTCTGGGGAGTGATTGGAATCAGTTACACGTGAGCACTGCTAACTGTCTCCTGCTCATTTCTGCTGGGGTGTCCCCACTGACACCTCATTCTGTGCATTCCACGCCAGATCCTCAGCCCCCAGTACTCACACACCCCAATAAGTACTCATTTCACAGATGCATGAACGGAAGTTCTCCCATGTGGTCGTCTAAGAAAGAAACTTTGGCCTCTTTGTTTATTTTTTAATGAATAAGTGAAAGAAATAATATCTAAACAATACATCTGTTATAAAATTCAGGTATATGATGGGACATAAGTTTCTTAGTATTACTTCTCTCTATTTTAACTCCATTTATATTTCATTTCTATTCTTCTAGAGGTGATTCGTGCATATGAACATATTAATATGCACATATAAATTTGTGCTTACATATATTTTGCTGGTGAATACAGCCTCTATGTGTTGTTTTTGCCCATTTTGTTTTTACTATGAAGTATTTTACATTTATGTGTTTTATATTTGATATATCCAATATATCAAATATTTGATAAAATATAATATAAAATTTTATATGTATATAACATATACATTTATATGTATGCAACATATAAGTATGTTTTATAATCATTTTGTGTATAACACAAAAATAAATACATTTTGTTATTCTTTACATTCTCATTGTTTGCTGTAACTGTGTTCTGTAAAGTTGCCACAAACATTGAATTAGTGAATATTGAACTGGTGCTCCTAGGAGCAAATACAGGGTTAGGTTTCTTCAAGTCTCTGGTCATGTTTTCATCTCTCGGTCAGTATACTACCTTGTTTTATGCGTGTTCATATTTGAAGATACCTTATTTGGTCTACAATGTTGATTCATTACGTCTGAACACACAGCCAGCAGTGCTATAACCCAGACCTGAATGGAATTCACCTCCCACGTATTTTCTCCATAAAGCACTCAGAACCCTTGTTCTTCCCAGCACTGGACGGCACCGCGACCATTTTAGAAATGGAAATTACACACGCACAAAAAGCACAAAGGTGCCAAAAGATGTGTCACAATAGACCATGAAAGGGATGCTTATTTACAATCTGACAGCCTTGTCTTGTTAGTGTCAGCTGGCAAAGTTGCTTGTCAGGTGACAGATTTTCCACTGTCTGCACATGCTTATGACAAGCACAAAAACATTGTAAGTATTAAGTTTGGAGTTAAAATACATTTTAGTAAAGTAGGCAAATTCAAAAGTGCAGATCCCGTGAATAATAAGGATGAAATGTACACTTGAAAGGCATATGAATGTTATATATAAAATCAATACGTATGTGTTGTGTATAGATATTATAACCTAAACGAGAGCTAAAGAATGATAACAAAGTGAATAGCCACACACACCCTGCTCACAGAGCAGAACTGGGTCA